TGGGGAAGACACCGAGCCACTTACCTGATGAGCATGTGTGAATGAGTGGCAGAATAGGTGGGCGGGGGCATTTGACCTTAGCAAAGGGAGAAAAAACACCTAAGAGCCACATGAGATAGGAAGTTGTGGTGAGCCATGATCACTTATGTCCTGAAGGGATACAGCACATAGAAGAAAAAAAAAAGAATCCTTGTTATGGATGTTGTAGTATACATTTTAAAAATAGATGCCACCTCCCACAAAGATTCTAATCATTTCTAGGTTTTGAGTATAATTTTTATGTATCAAAAATGCATAAATTGAGAGCATTGATTAATATATTATTGAAATATGGGAACAAATGGAATTGGTCAAGAGAGTATCAAAAATATCATTTGAGGAAATAAAAAAAAAAAAAAAGTTTAACTTTGGAACTGTCACTAAAACATTTTGATCCAATTTTACAAATAATACTATCCTCCAATGATAATATATATGGTATTGGAGCAGTAATTTTGCATAAATTAAAGCACAGTTTGATTGATCAATTTACTACTTATGGCTTAACCATAATTTGGGGATTGCAAGAATGTTTCATTTTTTGCAAGTGAATATTGCATTAACAATTTTTTGGAAATAATGATTTTTTACAGATAAAAGTCCTATTATTTAACCCTTACATGGGGAAAGAAATTGATTCATGTCTTTCCCAAGGGTATTTGTGCATAAATGAATGTAATGAATTTGAATTTCACCCCCACTACCACCACCACCAATTTCTCATTCCAAGTTGCTATCATTACATCACCCACACATCCACTTAAAGGATAGAAACCAGTAATTGCCTTAATAAATCCTGAATCTGAAATAAAATTATAACAGATATAAAAACAACCAAAGACCACTATATATATATGTAAATATATTGCACATATAGTGCTGGTGTTAATAAAACTGTGTTCAGTGTAATATAACAGAGCTCTTAAGTATATATTAATAAATATACATTCATCAATACTAAAAAAGATTTTTAACAAAAATGATGTTAAGATCAGCTATAACTGCATTAATAACATTGATAAATCAATATCCCAACATAATATTATATTAAACAGATACATATCCAACAGAGACCACAAAGTTAATTGTTTTAAAAATAAATGCAACTGTCGAAAAAAAACGGTCTGTCCCTTCAACAACCAATGTATGATGACTAATAATATTGTATACCAAGCTAGCAAACATTCCTATAATGATGTCAAATTTTATCTTGGTTCCACTGAAAATGCTTGGAAATTTTGTTTCTACTATCATTGAATGACTTTAGGCAATTTAAGATACATAAACAGCACTACTCTCACCAAACATTTAAAGCAATTAAAGAATGGTGGTAATGCATCCATTATTACATAGGATATTGTAGCAAAAGCCACATCTTACAATGGGAAAGGCAATAGACCTAACTTATGACTTGTTGAAAAAAATTAGTTATCTTAAAACCCTTGCATATTAAACAAGAGAAATGAATTGACGGTTATATGTAGACATAAAAATAAATATCTACTGAAATACATTAACCCAGATTAATTTTTAATGTAAATTATGACAGTTCTTTTTGTTTTATTTTTTTTCTTAATTTTAATGTTTATTGGGGTTTTTTTTTGGGGGGTACCAGTAATCTCACTTTATGCATAATATAGAATATTCACAACTTTAAATCAAAAATTATATATATATATATATATATATATATATATATATATATATACACACACATCTCTAATTTATTTAAATGCAAAATATATTTTTAAAATAAAAAACTGTAATCTCTGTACAATATATGAACTGCGGCACGGCGAAATTGTGTTAACCAGTTATTCTTATTAAAATTTTATATATATATATATATATATGTATATGTGTGTGTGACTGCTTTCAGCTATTCTATTAGCTATAATCAATGAGGTTTTTATTTTTAAATGAAAAGGTAGAATACTATGGACTGAACATGTGAGCAACAACAAGGTTTTGGAGAAAATGGAAATAAAAAGGACAGATACTTAACACCAGGAAGAGACAGCTGAAATTTCTATGGCACATGAGGTAAGAGGTCTTGGAAAATTTAACAAATTGAAGGTAAGAGGGACAGAATAAAACAATGCATAACCTACCTAGTGAGCATGAGTAAATGTTTAGAGGAACAAGGTTTAGGAGAGATAACAAAAAACAGAAAATTTATTAAAAGCTATAAAGAACAGGAAATTGAGGCGAGCCATGACTGCCAATGTCCTGAAGGGACATGCCACAAGGAAGAAAATGAAATGGGTCATCTTAAATATATGCATGATGATGGTCAAACTCTGGGACACATGGCTTGAGATCACATCCTCAATGCCACTGTTTATAATTCTGCAATTTTAGTTGATGAGAAAGACATGCAACTAGATATCTTTGTTACAAGACTAGATTTACAGCAGTCAAGTTTTCAAGTCTAAACCCACTAGCACTGTAATTTATCAAAAACTCCAACAATAGACAACTCCATTTTGCTATTCAATAGAATACCTCTTGGATCATCAAAATTGATGTAGGCAATGTTAGGTCAAGACAGTGGAAAATTTAACAAAAATCAATAAACAGAAGACTGATGAATATTATAGAATGTCAAAGAGTCTAGATTAACATGTAAAATAAACATTAATAAATTACATGTTCCTATAGGTTTTGAATTTATTTATAAATTATTTATATTGTATTTGTTTGCATAACAATATCTGCCTCAGTTAAAACAATATTGTTAATAAAGGCAAATGTTATAAGCTGAAATTCACACATATATACAGAGTGCAATAAATCGTTGTCCAAAAATGAAATGACATTTTAAGATATATTTACCAAACTTACACAAAAATATCTTGAAATATTAAAGAGAAAATTTATTCAATAAAATCGCCATTAGCTTCAACCAAAGCCTCCAGGCGATTTCAGAATCTCCTGCAACTCTTCTGGGCAGTTTCCTTCTTTAAGTTGTTGGATGCTGCCAGAATCCTTGCCTTCAGTTCATCTTTAGTATTAAAGGAGTTTTGTTGGTCTCTTGCTCAACTGTGCCCCACACATAATCAACAAGGTTGCAGTTTGAGGAGTTAGGTGGCCAGATGTAAGAGGTGATGTGGTCACAGCAATTATCTGGCAGCCATGACTGGGTTCACCTGCTTTTGTGGCATGATACAGAATCCTGTTGCCAGACATAGGGTCTTCCAGCAGCTACCCTCTTAACCCAGGGTAGCACTATCTCCTCAAGGCACTTGATGTAGGCCTCCATGTGGGGTCAGAGACCCTGTGGGAAGATGAATGGAGGTATAATGTTGCCATCACCCCAAACACCTTCATAATCACCATTAGACTCATCCAACTCTTTCTGAATCCTCTGCACTGTCCTCAGATTGACACCCAAACACTCTGAAATGTTCATATTGGAGTTTCTGGTGCTTATGCCAAGCAGTGCAGCATGCCATTTCCAAATTTCTGGCAAAGTGAATAGTGTCATGGTGCTCTTTTTCTCATAGATGGTGCCCAACTGACCATACTATACAGTGCAGTTGGCAAAATAAAACAAACAAACAATGTGCATGTGTTGAAGTAAAAATATAAAATGACGACAATTTACCCATCGCATTTTGTATATATCATGAAAATTTTACCAACATTAGATGGTCAGCAGCTGATCCAAAACAAATCTTATATTGTAAGATACCTTTTTGGAACTCAGCAACAAACTTACTCAAGCACAGTTCCCTTGAATCCACTAACAAATAACATTTTGAAAAACAAGTTCCATTAAACTGACATTTTATTTCTTTTTAAAAAACAGAAATCTAACACAAGATGATTTCAATTTTAAAACATTATCATTATTATCTCATTATTTTGTTAATGTATATATATATATATATATATATATATATAAAAAGCCTGATGAAAAAGTATCAGGACTGTTGCTATGGAGAGAGAGCTAAAGTACACAGAGTGAAGCTGGATAGCAAGCTTTTTCAGTTCTGCCAAAAATACATCCACTATTTCACCAGGTCACAAATGCTGCATAATAAATCTTTTGTATTCTATGAACATGTCAGTTGCAAATGCAGTTATTAGAACATGTTTAATAGCATTCTGCTCTTTGCTCAGTTGTTGATATACCACAAGAGTTCCTCCTGTCAAACACAATGAGAAAGATCGTTCAATCTTGGTAATCATTCATGCTTCATATACTCAAATCCACTAATATCATTGCATCTCTGGCAAATTGAAAAATAAAAGTAGATTTTTCTTCAGCTGTACATGACTGAAATCATTTTTTTTAATAATTATGAATAAATATCAATACTTTACATATCAGAAATGAAATTATCTTTTCTACTGATGCTTTTTATTTTATTTAGCATCAAAATTTATAAAATTACCTTATGGAATAATTTTACCATTTAGTTTAATTTGTACTGCTGAGTAACCAATTCAAGCCAAAATAGCAGTGCCCACGAGAAACTACCATCAGCATTTTTATCATTATTTATTTCCAGTATATAGCAAGTTATTTTTCTCAAAACAGGCCAGCACAGCCAGGTAACAATGCTATAACAATTCAGCAGCAAAAGTGTTAATGTATTCCTACACACTGAACTTATTGTTACTTCACTTAATTTTCTTAATTTTCCTGCACTATTCATAGTGAAAAAAATAATTTGGTAATTAAACACCAAATATTTCCTAAATTTTATTAATTTTCTTTTTTATAAAGTTTTGACACTCAATCTTTGTGTTGTGTCTAGAAAATCAACCAGAATGGAATCATCAGTATTATTGAGAGATCAGTGCTATTAAATGTATGATTAAGATTTTTTAAAATTTAAAAAAAAGAAAAAAAAAAAATATTTAATTCTACTTAAGAAAATAGATTTTGCTCTTACAAGAGGTCAAAGAGCCTTCAATTTGAAAACTTCTCAGAAAAACGAAAGCAAACTTACGACTGCTACTTCATCCCAGCCAATGATCACTCCTCGATATCCCCAAATTTTATGCTTGATCACTTGACCAACACGAAAATGCACATTGCTGGGACGAGGACTTCTTGGTTGTGTAGAAGCTGTTTAAAGAGTAAAGAAAAGTAAAAGGTAGAAATTGATAAAAATATTAAACAATTTACTTAAATTTCTGTCTGAATTTTAACATGACAGGCAGCAACAGTAATCAACAGACAGATTAGGTTTAAGGTTCCAAGTTGACCACAATGGATTATAGCCAAACTCTGTTCTAATATTCCCCAAAACAGTGAAACAAGCTTTCATAGCTCTGTAAGATATACATCAACAGATTTTTTTAGAGTGTAGATGACAATCCATAAACTGTAGGTCATAAATTTGTCTGTTTAAAAAGTAATTCATAGTGTTTTCTTTATTACTGGGATGCCTGACTTTTCCTCCTTGCTTTGATACATGGCAAAGGCCATACCACACAGATGCAGTGAAAAAAAGCATTTCAATCTTTTTATCCTGCAGAGTTGGCAAAAAGTTCAGCTTTTTCAAGCCATTCAAGCATTTTGCTTACTGGGCTGCACACTCAAGAAAATGTGCCATCCAGTAAAATTTGGATCTGTGTCCCTCTTTGCAGGAGAAACCAGCATCTGATCTGGCATGTCTTAACCATTTGATGATGAAGAGCTTCAAAATCAAGCAAGGTTCTATTTGCCTCTTCATAGCCAAGTAGTTAAAACACATCAAATCAGATGGTGGCTTCTCCTGCAAAGAGGGACAAAGGATAAAAACCAGCTGATGTGCACATTTTCTTAAATAAATATAGTAGATTAAAACAAAAAACATGTTAAAAATCGCTACACAGTAGGGTTCATTTTTCAGCACTAAGTTGTGCCTCTTCAGGTGCTGATAAAGAGAAGATGAGGTAACAACAAATCAAAATTAAAAAGAGGCTTGTGGGTTTATCATGAATAACCAATTAGTTGTCAAACCTATGCTAAATTCAAAATTAATCTAGAAAAAAAGGGGAATTTTGATCATGGTAAAATGTGGTCTGAAATAGAATCCGAGACAAGGTCATAAGCGACAGATAAAAAATTGATACAAACTATAAGCGAGTCTCAACCTTGTATCATAATTATGAAACAAATATAAATTGTTCAATTTTTTATAAGCTAAGGAGAGGGGTAAGAAGATAATCAAATGTAACAGATTTTGTAGTTGATAATTAAAAGCTTCTTTAAGAAACCAGTGAATACAACTTAAGTGTTTAAACATAAAAAAAATGTGTCATTCATATAAGATTTTAATAATGCTATCTAAACTGTAATACACAGCTATATTAAATAAACAAAATAAAATAATCATTCATAGAAGGAACATCACAATTCACTTATTAATCATGACCATATGAATTAGTACTACCAAGTTCAAAGTTTAACCATATTGTAAGGTGAAAAGTAAACTATGCCTACAATTTACAGTTAATTCACTTCTTTGGTTTAATAGAGAATTTTTATCAGCAAATCTAATAATATCCACTTTCTCGTGTAAGCATAAGTAGCAAGGTTCATTTAAGGATTTAAAAGTTCTAGCTTCTTTAATATAATAATATTAAGCTGTACTCTGTACTGAGCCTTTTTTTTTTTTTAAATTAAACACTACAGACATTGGAATTATACTCCATTTGTTCTTATCTCATACCTGTGTGTGAATATACACACACAATGCTGTTCATACAGTGTACAGATAATACACACTGATCCTAAACAAAGAACACAGATTCTACACTAGACATAGATTTGATTTGTTTGTTTAACAGTATATCAACTCCTTATGAGTCATTTGATCGTGAAATTTAATTTTCTGTGAAGCTTTGAAGTAATAAAACATATATTCTTTTCTGCTTTCACAGTTGAATACATGGTAGAGGATACTCAACTTTTGTGAATACACATGTTTGTGCAGACATAATTAATAGAGTTGTTGCTATGTGTGCTTATGTTGTAGTTTTTTTTTTTAAGTTATATTTTGGGTTGGTTGGTTGGTTGGTTGATTTTGTTTAGCGATATATCAAACTATGGGCTATTTAATGCCAAAATCTAAATGTTTTGAATGCAATTGTATGCCTTCAACTACAGATAAAATATATTGTAGGTAATTTCACTGTAAATAGGTATTGCTGATATTTTTACTATGAAAATATATTTCTATACTTTTATTGTGCTTTATTTAGGGTGTTCACTATTTGCCCATAGCTAGGACCCTTACAGGAGCTACCACTCTGAATCAGGGTTAACACTAGTCATACATAGAGCAACACTTTGATTAAAGGCAGAGGTAATAATTCATATAAAAAGTAATCCCATCATAATTGGTAGATAATATACTAATTTACAAATTAGTACTGGGGTGAAAAAAAATGTGCCAAAAGAATTATGAAAAAAAAATTGTTAATACTTCAATGTATATTTCTGTTTTTATAAAAAAAAAAAAAAAGTAAAGAAAAAAAAACAAATCAGTTTTCATGTTGACTGTATTGAAAAATATAGGGACAATGAAACTTAGCACTTATCTTTCTCTTATAGACAAAACAAAACTAAAAAAGAAGACGTGATTTTATTCATAATAGCCATAGATTAAAATAATTTCTTGCAAATAAAGCTTTGTTTTATTCTCAGTTTTTCTCATATCCTCTTTTAGTCAACTGTAAGTTCAGTTAATTGGCGGGGGTGATTAGAATATATTTACTCATTTCTAAAGCAGCAAATCAAGTTACAGTGATTCATATCTCAAGGAAATTCTTTAAGATATATGGTTAAACTTAAGAACAGGTTTTGAAAATTTGTGCTGAGGATATGGATTCTCAAACAACAAAAAAAAAAAAAAAGGATACTTGGTTGTTCATTTAAGAAAAAAAAAAAATTTTTTTTTTTTAATACTCACTGCAAAATAATCATTACGGGTCTTTGCCTTTGTATATAAATTCTCTTCATCATCTGATTTTTTACTTTGGGACATAGGTGGAATGCCTTTTTGGAAAAAGGTGGAGCTCCATTTTTGCCATGAATTCCAAGATAAGTATTTGTGACTGAACCCGGACACTGCTTTCATTACACTTTGAAAGAAAGATAAAATTCATATAACAAAATAAATTAACAACTAGTCATTTTCATTTTAAATTCATCTAAATATCAAGGTCATGATCAATGTTAAGAATATACATTTGCGAATATGAGTAATTGTCAAGTAATGTTACACATTTTGCAGATTTCATTGATTTTTTTTTTTTTACTCCAAAATAATGAAATAAATATTTGACATCTTTTGGGACTTCAAGAATTAAAAACTAAAACTAAATTTTTAAATTCCTAATTTCATCAAATCTCAAAATGGACACATTGAAGTATATTTGGTGTCACCATCATGCAGACATAGCAGTAAGCATACCATCTGGCCCTTCCTAATCAAAGAGAACATGACCAAAGCAATATTAAATTTTGGCTATATAGCAATGCACACACAGCCACTGAGGGAACTTGTAGCAAACACAGACAGCACATTCATCACACCATGTCAAAGAAAGTCTCTCTCATTCAGGCATTCAGAACACCATCAGCAAAATAAACCCAAACACCATCTATATTGATCACAGAAAAAGAAACCTAAGTGAGTTACTTCTTTCCATAAATATATATGCATGCTCACACACATACAAAATATATATATATCTTCACACCTACACCTATTACATGCACACTCACACATCCATGAAGATTTGTTTTCTCAAACCTTATTTCCTTTTATGAACACTCTTTAACCCTTATAAGAATATCTTTTCTCTTTCATCTAATTGTAACCATTGTTGTTATTAAATTGTATTCAAGTTATGAGATGTTGTCATTTTATTCCTCATTTTGATATAACAACAAAGTTTCATTGCACCTTTCTCTCGTTTGATTTCAGCTGCAACATTAACTTCACTTTAATCTAAAAGGGATTAGTAGTACACCTTCACTGTCAAAACAAAGACAGCAACAATCCACAACAACCATCAAAAGAACATATCTAATTGGTTTGTCATGCACAATATAATGTGTTCAGTCTGGCCAATTTCAATGTCAAAATCGAGGAAGTACAGCAATTTAAAAAATCTTGGAAGTGTCTTAACAGAAGACAGAAAATGTGATTTGCAAAAAGAAAGCTAAGAATACCTTGGACAGAGCATACGAACAACAAGAAAATTTTCATGAAAATAGAAACAAAAAGGTCACATGAAGAGACAGTTGAAATGTTGGAGAAACACAATGAAGAAAGAGTGTGGAGAATTTGACACTCACAGAACATACCGAAGGCAAGAAGGTCAGAGAATAGCAAGTAACATATCTAATGAGTTTGTGTAAATGAATGGCAAAACAGAGTGCAAGAAGGATAGTATATAAAAATAACATTGTTAGGAGCTACAAATAACAGGAAGCATAATTGTCAATGTCCTGATGGGATACAGCACATAAAAGAAGAAAAATGTTTATGCAAATACTTCAGTTTGTATAAAGGAGCATATTTTCACAATTGTATTTGATTTTTTTCCTTATATTAAATGATATTTCTATTATCAACAATTATGTTTAAAATCTGAACTCTTGCTGTTTTCTATATATTCAATAATAATCCACATTAACATCAGTTTCTTCTTACATTTCTTTGGGTCTTTTTATCTACTTACTATCATTAATATTTAGTGTATTTAGATCAACACCCCTGTATAGTTTAACTTTATAGGATAAAACAATGAAATTTCAGAAAAAAAATGGTTTTATTAATATCACTGGAGTCAATTTTATTATCATGGTCTAAGATTATTAAAATATAGGCAACATATCTTTAAGTTTGATACAATGCCAATGTGCAATTAGTTTACTAAAAAGATTTTTAGGACATCATCCATCATTTTATTCAGATTCATGTTAAATACCTTGGCTACTAAGGTTTATGGCTACATCACATTCAAACATTGGTTCCCATATGATCACTGAAGTTAAACAATATCAAGCCTGGTCAGTAGCTAGATGGGTGACCACTTGGGAATATCAGGTGCTATAAGTTTGGATGTGCATGTGGTATAATGAATAATGGCTTGGAATCACTAATTAGAAAGCTGAATCCCAATTCACATTAGGATTATTATATTCACTTACATGCAAATACCTTTGGGAAAAGTTTGAATCAAACTCTTCTCTCCCCAGCTATGGGTTAATTAGCAAGTGTTGTATCACAAACATTATCTCAAAAAGAAAAATTTTTACAATCTAAAAGTATTTTCTGGGTTTAAAAACATGCAAAAAATGTCAATCGATATTTGGCTGCTAAATCTCTTGTCAAATGTCTGTTTTCTTGAAAACAAATTATTCTTTATTTCTGACCAAATCTGCTCAGAACAAAACAATTCTTCAGAATATAGACAAAATGCCCCTATTTATTGTTTTTATATATATATATATATATATAAACAGATTTTTGTCATTTTTATTTGCTTTATAAATCCATCTAATTATGTTTATAAACATAAAATATATATAGCAATATATTAATACAACAACCTACTCAAATATTTTTCATACTTGCAAAGTTGAGAAGCCATATATAGTGATTTTCCAAGCATAGCTTAGATGTAGCACAAGGTCGAAATTAGGGGGCACCCAGTGAGGATTGAACTCACTACTCAATTGTAATTGTTCTAGCGAGTCAAGCTTGCTAACCATTACACCGCCTTGAGATAAGCCATATATATATATATATATATATATATATATATATATATATATATATATATATATATATATATAGAGAGAGAGAGAGAGAGAGAGAGGTATTATGAATGCAAAATATGAACAGTGTGTATCTGGTGTACAATTTTACAAAAAAAAAAAAACGAGCAGACATGTTTTGTGTTTTATAAAACAATGGACATTGAAGAGAGGTTTTAAGGGAATTTCATTGAAGCTGCTAAGTAGAGAAGATATTAGATTGGACATACAAGAGCATAATATATTTTATAGACACTACATGAAATGAATTGGGGTTGTAAAAGAAAATGGTTGATTTTTCTTTTTTGGAAGTAGTTTAGAAATTCTTCAAGTTAAAAAAAAGTCTGTTCATAGTTGAAAAAAGAAAAAAATATTTTGTTCAATATTGATTATTCAATTCAAAATCATATTTCACAAATTTGTTTTAATTTACTTCATGTGTTGTGTTCTAATCATTACCAGGTCCCATTGTGTCACATTACTGCACATGTGCAAACCCTTTCCCCATAAAAAAAGAAAAAAAAAAAAATTGAAGATTTAATAAAATACAGCATGTGGTAGAAATACCTCCCAGAAATACCACCTGCATAATGGTAAAACATCAAATATTAAGCTTAAAGCTGAAGACAAAGTACTGAAAATTATATCAATTAATCTACACAATGGAATGTTATATAGCATATTATGCTATATAAAATTAAAACTGCTTTTTCACTAGAAAACCTTTGCACATCTAAAAATTAAAAAATAATGATACAAATTTTGGTTACTATTTATCTATATAAACAAAAGCAGGTCACACTTCCTGTTTGTTAATCAGATATTTATATAATTATCTACTTTGAGAGTTAACGGCCTCTCATTATATATATATATATATATATATATATATATATATATATATATATGTGTGTGTGTGTGTGTGTGTGTGTGTGTAAATATATGAATTGCACATAAAGCACTGGTGTTATTGAAACAGTGCTCAATGTTATATAACAGAGCTATATAGTATGCCACACCATTTGCACTACTTGAAGTTTCATTCCAAACACAATCTTCAGGTGCTGAGTGTATGCTGACCATTATTTGTATATAATTTGAAAATATATCAGTTTATTGTAATGCTGACATAGTTAAGTATTATTTATATTGGGATTTAATTTTTCAAAAACTTTTTTAAAACATTAATTATATTTCTCATTACATTAAATCTAGCAACTAAAATAACCGGTATTACCATATGAGCATAAAAGATAAGTATTTATTATGAATTATTAATTTTATTTTATTTTTAATGGGTTATCAGCTATTAATTATTAATATAAGTAAAAGGAGTTAACTTAATCTAATTTAATATTAAATTAGTAACATTACTAAAGAAAAATACATAATAATAAATATAATCACTTATAAAAACAAATAAAAATCATAAAAAATATATATTAAAAAAAAAAAAGTGAAAAGACAATGTAAATTGAAGTAGAGATGGGCAGTAGGGTTGTATATGAGAACTGACAATCTGAATGAAGAGAGAAAAATGTTTTAAGAAAGATAGACCAATGGTTCCTAAATGATACAGCACACCTCATAAGTGCAGCAGAAGAGAATAGCAGGTGAGGCAGAATGATTGAAAGACAATCTAAGATTTACAAACCGTTTCTAAAAATTCATGTCAAAAATAAATATGATTTCAAAATTTAGAATATTATAGATTACTTGTAATTGCATGCATGAGTCTAGTATAAATAATTATTTTATCATTGTGATATTTTTGCATTATATCAAGTATTAAGAATATAGTAACTAGGCTCCACAAATTGGAGGAGAGAGTTATCAATGATAATGTTCTGACTTTGAATCCGAGTTATCTCCCTTTAACCTTCTGTTTTTTATTTTTAAATGTACTTTTTATCACAAAGTTTAGTGATGTACGAGCAAATTTTAATTCCAAAAGTACAGCTCAGAGTTAAAAAAAAAAAGTTTAGTAACCACTGCTCGAGACTGTGACAAATGAATAAACAAATAAATGACCAACATAACAGACAAAGGATTCAAGTTTTTATTTCTTCCTATGGTATTATTTCGCTTTTTGTCCTCTTGTGAATGTACACCATTTTTTCCAGTTTTGTTTACACTAACACAAACAAGAATTCAAACAAATATCAATATAAATAAACATGTGTATTTGATTCTCATTAACATTGTCAAACTTTAGATGAGAATAGATTTAACATGAAGCCACTTGGAAACCCTCATCAAGCAACAACAGCATAAAACTCATTAAAGCCGTAAGAGAAAAGTTTTAAAAAATATGCAAATGATCCTATAGAACTAACAGTGAGAGTAAATATCAAAAAGTACCTCCTCAACTGATCAACCCTCTGGGACTCTGTGGTTGCTGACATTTTGGTGATGAGAAACTGGAGAGGCACCACCATAAGCAGCATACCAAGTTGGAACATGGCTGCTCTTTGGAGTGGCATTTTGCCAAAGGAATGTGCTACAGACTGGTCTGAATGAGATCCTGCCCGCCAGTTCTGAAAAAAACAAAAAAAAAAAAAAAAATTGGAATGAGAAAAGAGAAAATTGTATATGATGTCAGATTTTATTATGCAATTCAATATTTTCCCAATAAAAATGATTAACCAACTAATGTTGACAAAATGTTCAATATATTAGGCTGTTCAAAAACTAATGTCCAATTTTAGAATCAACTTTTATTCCTGAACTGATGTATCTTAACAGTATTTAAATCAGTTAAAATAGGAACCTTGAACATCTATACATTTCTGCAATCAAGTTACAAGATTATTTATACCTTTATGATAAAACTTTAATGGTTTAGACACCAAGGAACCTATGAATGTATCTTATGCATCTTCTTTGCAATGGAAGATCTTTTGGCTAAAGAAGATGCTTCAAAAAGTAGTAATCAGCGGGTGCAAGATCAAGATAATTATGGTGAATGTGGCAAAGTCTCGTATCCCAGGTCAGTGAGGTTCTGCAGTGTTATCCTGGCAACATGCAGCCAAGCATTGTAATGAAGCAGAATTGGACCTCATTGGATCACATTTTCCTTAACTGAATGTGCATTTCATCCAGTTGTTGGCAGTAAGCTTCAGCAGTAATGTTCTAGTTAGCTTCCAGAAATTACATATATATTTATTTACATATACCGGGCTGAATATTCAGGCTTTGTCCTATGTAGCAGAATGGTCTAATGCATGTCAGATCTAATAATGGTTTTCCCCAAGGGGATGCAGGTTCAAATATTGCTAGAGGGTATATATTTGTCTAGCAAGATTTCTTGAATATTCAGGCTGGTAGATGTAAATAAATAAATGTACTGTTTAATAAATAAATAAAAACAGAGCATCTACTGAAATATGAGTATCCATTTAAAAAATAACGTTTAAACAAATAAATTCAAAACTATGTCAAATTTAATCCATTTCCTAAAAATTGTCTTTGTTTATGTTAGGATACAAAACAGAGCAGATATGTATATTTCGAGAATCTGGAAGATGTGTGTTCAAAAGCTATATTCAGGCTTTGATCAGGAGGTTCTATGTGGCTAAGTAGTCTAAGGAACATCAGATCTAATGACGGCTTCTCTTAGAAGATGCAGGTTCAAATCCTGCTGGTAGGCACACACACACACACATATATATATATATATATATATATATATATATATATATATATATATATATATATATATATATATATATATATATATATTTTCAATTCTAGTCGGAGGCTCAATTTTCTTTAGCAGGACTTCTCAATTTAGGTCGGTTGTTATTACTTTTCACTTTTTAATAAAATAAAAACCAGGATAGCAACTCAAACACATGTACTCACTATAAAAATAACGTTTTGGGGAATAAGAAATAATGCCAGATAACAAATGTTTTAAAAAATAAATAAATAAATAAAATATATAAATATATATGTGTGTGTGTGTATGCATCTGTGGTCACCAATGCACCTAAAAGAGAAGTCCTAGTGAAGAAAAATGTGCTTCCCAATAGGACTTTTCAATCTAGACCAGTTGCTATTAATTTCACTGTTTAAGAAAATAAGAAACAAAAATAGCAACTCAAACATGTACCAATTAATAATAACATTTATAGTAATAAAGAAATGTCAGATTAAGAAATCTATTAAAAAACTATTTGAATATTCATAAATGTTTACATAATAAAATCTGATACTAACTCTGCTAAAACAAGTTATTACCAATACTTTTAGTAAGGTTACTTATTGTAAACAGAAACTGATATGATATATTGCTTATATATCCTGAAAACTTTACCAGAATTGATTAATAGCAATATTATCAAGAAAATATTAACTTGTATAATAAAACTTGACAGTGTATGATAAGGAAAGAGAAAAACATTGTGATCTTTTGTGATCAAGCAGTTACTTTTAATCACCAATATCAACATTGATGTATTGTTTTGAGAAAGTCTCAGATGACACAAAGATATGACATTGAAGCTTGTCAAAGTATATAGTTGAACATAGTAATGATAATATCAACTTTAATCAAATTTATTTCAGCTTAGTAATTATATACTTCCAGTCTTCAGGATTTATTAACTTTTAGAAATAAAAACAAAACCTCTTTAAAAGTATCTATCAATAAAAAGAAAAAAAATACCAACTTAAAAATGGGTGGGATTGCTATTATGGAATTGTAGCACCATAAAAAATATTTTGACAGTTCCTAACCATAAATCATATTCTTTAGATTACACAATCTAATATGAGGGATGTATGGAGAGTGTAGTTGTTAGTGGCTTGAAATGAGAACTTGGCAAGCCAAGTTCGAATTCCAGTAAAGTTTGTTACATTTATTTTCACACAAATTATCCTTAGAAAAGATATGAATCCATCTCTTCTCCGTCCTGCTGGATTAACCTTTTATCACTCTGGTCACCTTCACTCCAAGATGGCTTCCCTCTTTTCTCTGGGTGGCATATGAGGTTAGCTCAATAATTGGGCAATAAAAATTTTATAACTGTTCTTATTCAAATAACTTAACAGTGCCACCTGTGTAGATCAATCTTTTCCAAACTGCTATTTTGCCAAGGGGAATTAACAAAAAATACTAATTTCAACAACTATTGATTAACCCACTGGAGAGCAGCTATTCATAATCCTGTTGACTCTAATGGGCACAAAGAAATTAATGAATGAATATAAGAAAGTGTTGAAAAATTCTCAGCCCAACCAACTCCCCAAAATCTGACCAAGGATGAAAGATGTTTCTTTTTTCTTAGAAGGGTTTTTGGTCAGGCTAAAAACTTCTTTGCACTTTCTTGTATATGTTTTTTTTTCATTTTGTAATACTTACATTTTAAATACATTTACTTTTTGTGCTGTGTAATTTGAGGTAATACTCAAATTATTATTCTAGCCTAAAAATATAAATTTCATGGCTATACTCTTTGCAAAGCATATTTAGTCCAAGAAGAAACAAAGTGTTATAAAATATGTATAATTTCTTAAGTAATCTGTGACAGATATAAAATTTTATTATAGCTTAAAAAGAAAGAAAGAAAAAGTTAAGCAATTATTGATCCTTGCTCTTCAAAGCTCAATCAAGAACAAAAACACAAACATGCACACAATGACTAAAAAAAGAGGGAAGAAAAACAAACTTACTATCAGAAACTGAGCAATATAACTCACTGCCAAGCCCCATCAAGTTAGTTTGGTGATTTATGATTTTAAATGTCAGTAAATATATTTGCAGAACTAATCAGGGTTTGAGGTGAGGATTGAACAACACATACCAGCTAAGATATAAAAAGAGCAGTAAAACATTTTGCATATGCTTCTTAATATTTATGATTTTGCAATTGAAGAATACCTAACAAATAATCCAATTTGTCCCTCAACTTTTACCAGAGATCTTTTCACAGTAGTCAGTAAAAAGAAAATTCAGATTACCATCTAAGAGTGCTTGAGATCCTGTATATTAAGTCTAAACAGCCTTCCCTCTATAAGCAGAGAGAATGGTTGCTGGACTTAAATTTAATCTGCTGTGATTTATATCGCTAATTTTCTGATAGTAATTTTTTTCTCTTCTTTTTTTTAGTCATGCACATATTTATATTTTGTCCTCAATTGAGCTCTGAAGAGTGAGGAGTTAGCTCATTCTTTTCCTTTTTGTTTTAGTTTTTGATTCACAACTTTACAGAGTTATTTTTTCCTAATATATCAACATTTTTGTTTTAATATATTTAATATATGAATATCTATTTTTAATGCCATCATGTATAATTTCTGATTGTTGACAACATTAAAATTAGTAACATTATAGGACACCATAATTTGAAACATTTCCAAGATAATTTTCAATGAATACTACACTTTCCAGTTAATATTCTTTCCTGTGAATAATAATTTATCTTCAGTCTTTATACTAGAATGAAAATTTACATAACTTTGGCACAATAAAAGATTACCAGAACATCTAGTGAGAAACAAACACAATAACAAGGCTTACAAGGGTATCATTAAAATTCAGTTGACATTGACTGTTTTAAGATTTCTTATATATTAGACACCAAAACAAAGACTGTATTAAAAACCCTGGCATCCATATTTTGTGCAGTAGAGGGATATTCACTGGCAGATGAGTTTCCAAGGTTAAGTTTCATGAACCTTACTTAAGATAACAAAAAATAAACTATCCAATTAAGTTAGTAGCAAGGATGTGACTTCTCACTGGACTTATTCAACCTTTTGAGTAAGTGGTGATTCTAAAAGAATTACAAGTCCTACTATGATTTGTTACTGGCAGTCACAACCTTAACAATATGAGGTATGCAGATGACAGTGTTAATAGCAGAAACTACAAACTCTCTCCCACAAGGCAATAAAGGAAAGCAAGGAGAAAGGACTATCAATTGTAAGAAGACACAATGTATGGTTGTCAGCAAAAGGAAGTTCCTATGGTTGGTTAGAACTCCATTGACAATCCCTTTCCCCACTTTTTGGTCCTGTATTGCTGTCCCCAGATCCTCAATGTCCAACCCTGAGTCCCTAGTCTTGGTGTCTGTGAAAGTCAAATTTTGTGAAAGGACACTCCCAGAAGGATGCCATAGGAATAAGGATTTGACAATTTCCCTGTCAGCCCAGTGATAGTGGCTGGCAAATGGTAATCTCTTTTGTTAGAGCTTAAGAGAGATTAGTCTCAGTTCTCTGTAAATTGTAAAAGCATTGCATGGAATCTCCAACTGATATTCTGAATTTTTCTGTTCATTATTGGCAGCCACAATCTTAAAACATAAAATATGAAGATGACACAGTGGTGATATCAGACACAAAAAAGAAATTACAGGAACTCCTACTGAAGGTAGTAAAGGAAAGCAAGATGAAAGGACTAAACATCAATTGTAAGAAGACAGAATGTATCATTGTCAGATAAAGGAACAGCTCAAGATGCGAACTACAAATTGAAGACACTAAAATCCAGTAAGTACAAATTGTTAAATATCTAAGAAGAGTTTTAACAGAG